GAGCCCTCAAAAAAGTTCTATACCTTTTAAAATAAGTGATCTAACCTTGAAAAGTGGGAAAGGGCTCAAGAAAAAAAAAGTCTCTCTGGCCAGCAAAGTTTAGAACTCACACTGAGCTGGAAGGTCTAGCTTTGCCAAACTCATTGGAATTTCAGGCATAGCACCTTCAGAATGGAAATTCTAACCAATCTCATATTCAAAAAGAAACATTTTCCCTTCTCTCTAAATTTATAGCCCCATTTATTTCCCATGTACCCTTTCAAACTGTTCCACCAAATCCTTGTGAAATCTGCAGGAGCTCTACAAACTCTGTCTTCCATGAATAACAAACAGGCTTAGCTCAGCTCTGCCTTTCCCTGCTTCCTGCTACCTCCCCACTGCTTTGTACAGAGAGTGAATTTCTCAAATATTAATTGATCCCCAATCAGCCTTTGATCCCAAAGGCATGGGTTATCATTGACCAAGACACAAATCCCCTCAAGATGTTTCATTTCTATTGATTCTTCAAAGCCTGCATCAACATCCCAGCCACAGACCCAGAGAGGAGTAATTGGCAAGATCAAAGGGTAAACTGAAGAGGGACAGAAAAGGAGACGCCCCGACCTTCTTATTTACATTCAGTTACATTTGCATCTTAATGGGATGGCAAAGGCTGAGGTGAACTAGACGTGTACCCGGTGTGCCTGACAGCCGGAATAACCCAAGAGCAGGCCTCTCTCTCCTGGCTGCCATCACAAGCAAGGAGGCACTGCCAACAGAAGAGCCGGGACTGCCCAGTAAACACTGGCAAACGCTGTACTTGGCAAGCATGCTCTGAATTTTAAAACGGTCACAAATGAACTCCCCAGAATCTAAGAAATCCATCGGTTTAATTATTTAGATTTACTGTTTCCCAGTAAATAATTCAAGAGTGGTTATCAAAATGGATACTTAATCATAATAACGTAGGTTAAGGACCTCGTCTTTGAAATACTGAGGCCAAAGTGTTTTCAAATTTCGAATAGTCAGATTTTTAGTATTTGAATACATGTAAGTGGTGCCTTGGAGATGAGGTTTAAGAGTAAGCATGAAATTCATTTGTGTTTCATATACACCTTATGTTCACAGACTAGAGGTAGGCTGGTGCAATGCTTGCAGTGTCTCTGAGTTTTGACTATACTCTATCTCACAAATTCAGCTGCAATGGGGATGAAAATATAACCAGTAACTCAATCACACACTTTGCATAACGAATTTGGAGGGCATACAAATTACATCTCAAAAGTCTGTTGAAATAGCTATTGTTTATAACACATAAACATGCAAGGTGATAATGGCAATAACCACAGAGTTCTGGTTGGTACACATGCCCATAAAATTGGCACTGGGAGTACTGAAGTCTAAGAATCGAGAGTTCAAGGACAGCCTAATCCACACAGTGAGAACTTGCCACATAAAGTGGGGTCAAACATGATATTAGCAGATGCACAGCTCATGGCGTGTTTAAACAGAGAAGGCGTCTATGGAATTGACAAGATGCTCAGTGTTTCCTGCCGAGATTCCCGAACCAACTTCAAGATACATTTTTAGCATGCATACCAAAATCAAGAATTATCTATGTGTACTAGAAGGGGCCTCAAGCCGACAGCTCCTGACTACATATAGACATCCCCACCTTTCGGGCTGATCCTGCATTTTTCTGTCACTACATTAAACACTGATTTTATGAGCAACTGCATCCGAATATGAGAACAACTACCGTTGAGAAACTGCCGTAATGGTGGCTCGTAAACCCATGTGAGTCCAAACAGGAGCCTTTAGGGCGAAGTCAGCAAGACTCAGCAACTCTATCCCTGCGGAAAACATCATTTACGTGTGGAATATTTACACTCCTTTGAGAATCTAAATTTAACAAGCATCAAACTTTCAAAAACAATTGATTATTATTTAGCAATCTTGATGAGAGATCTCACAAAATATTACCTGTAAAGCTTTCCATTTTAAGATCAAACCAAATGATTTCATCCTTATGATTTTTTATTTGCATGTTTTCCTCATAAACTCACAGACTCCGGGAAGAAATAACTACTGAAGAGCTATCATCAAAGCCAATTATGGCTTATATTCCACAGGGCCACTGTGACATCCATCACCTCAGCCACCAGCCTGCAGTTCCACTGTGTGTCCCCTAAGGCAACTCACAAAGCCAATTAGGTAAGAGTGTGTGCATCTTCAGAGGAAGAACCATTAGTAAGTCCCTAATGGTACAAGAAGCTGACTCCACAGGAACACACAACGGCACAACACTGCCCCACATGACAGAAGGTTAAACATCAGCCTGGAACCCAGTAGAAATCAAGAGGCTACATCTGAGGAGCTCTTCCTTAGCCAAACACCATAGGTAGATGGAAAGAGTGGAGGATGCAGACTTGGGATGCCCTGGGTAACCTTGGCTGCAGGGCCCCTCTCCTGTGCCCACTGCATTAGCAACATCTGCCCTGCAGGCAGTTTGCTCTAAAGAAACGGGAAGGCAGGGCACATCAGAGTGCTCAGCACTGAGTGTGCACAAATTTGGGGTTATTTTTGACAGAAAATAACCTTTTACACAGTGACTCAGAAGCCATGAACATTCATGCTAGCAGATCCTGGGGCACTTTTCAAAGCTGGAGGCTATGGCACCACAGACTCGGCTCAGTTCCAACTCAGATAATTATATTCTGTTTCCTGAATTTGCCCAGATGTTTCAACTGGTTACAGCCTTGTTTTCTTTCTTTCTTCTTTTTTTTTTTCTTTTTCAGGGTGGAAAAAAGTGGGGACATTCTTTGTGAACTACCCCTCCCCATCTTGCTGATGGAGAGGGAAAGGCAAATATAATGTCAGCTTTGGTCACGTACAAGATGAAGGATCTGTGTGAACCGGCACATGGGGCAGGCTTCAGAGGACAAGAAAAAGACATCCGAGAGAGCAAAGGCCCCACAGATGAAGTGAGGCAATGGTGTCATGATACCCTTGTGGGATAATGACCACACAGGCGCTCACTCTAGCTGCACTGGACTGTCTAATGATCTGTTCTAATTCAGACACCAGAAGAGATGCTGAGCCCTCCCTGCAAGTGTGTGTGCATTTTTAATACTGTGGATCTAATCATTCGTTCATGATTTGGACAGGGGCCATCAGCAGAGACTCAGGAATTGTAGCAACTTGCCAATTTCTTTGCATGCCAGGCATTCTAAAAATAAAGCAGACTGCCATCGCTCAGATGGCCAAAAATGTAAAGCCTGACAATATCAATTTTGGGAAAAGATACAGGGGAAATAAAACTTCCAGGCACCACCAGTGGAATGTAAACTGGTTCAGACACTTTTCATAGCAATTTGGAAGCAACCGATAAATTTAACATGGTTTCTCCCGACATTCCAGCAACTTGGCTTCTTAGGCATATACATATATTTTTTTCCCCACAGAGACACACACATGCTACACCACAACAATAATTTTAATAGGCAAAAACAGAGGAGGAGGCACCAAATGTTCAAAAATAAGTACAGGCTGTGATATAGTCCCTATGACAGAACACCATGGATTGATCTTAAATAATGTGTGTGGAAATGGAAAAGAAAAACTATTCAAGAAAACAGTCAGCATTCCATATCCACAAGCTCTACATACGGAGACTCAGCCCAGAACTGATCCCGAACAAAGGAGTTTTTACTGAGCACATATTATTGCCTCACCCTGTCCTGTCTGCTCTTACAGAGCCTTTAAATTATATTCATTATTGTAGTCGTCAAGAGATGACTCAAAGATTCAAAGAGGGTGCAAAGACTATGCCCCTTTAGAGTACCCATGGACTTATGAGTTCTGCAAGCCAACTGGCAATAGACTTCATGGGACAGAAAGACAAAAAATCCTCACAGATGAATATCATTCATTAGAATATATGGAAGGCAAAGTAACAACTGCAGAAGGCTAGTGTTATGAATACATCCTGCTTATGAGAAGCATAGTTCATACATATGTACACTCATACATGCATACATATATTTATACACATACATATACATATGCATATAAATACACAGAGACAGGCATGCACATAGACACATAGACATACCTGCATGCATGTATACACAGACACAGACAGACACAGACACAGACACACACACACACACACATACACACACACACACACTTGTGTTCACTGTCAAGCAGAGTAGTTTTCTTGTTTTGTTGTTGTTGGTTTTTGTTTTTTTTTTTTTTTAATTTAGGCCTAGAACCATGACAATGGGATGCTATGCCCGCTTCCCTAGATTGTATCAAATGATTGAAGCAAATGTGAACTTGACTCATCCCGATGAACTTGTCCAGGTTTTGTATCTAAGGCCAAGGACACAAGGTCAAGTAGAAGTAAAGTTCCAGACCCTAGACAAGCAGCCACCTTCAAGGACCAGGAGGCAGATGTATAGACAGCTCGTCTGCCGTAATGGTACCTGCCATCTTGGCCTCAGTTTACTCACTAAGCCACCTCCTCAGCCTTCCATTAGCTTTCTATAATGGCTCCTTCTTCCCCGTGTATGTTCTTAAAATACTAATTTGTAAAGACAAGGGATGGGCAACTCTGGTGCTTACAGATGGCCAAGGAAGGCACTTTATATTGTATAGGTCCTAAGTCTACTGGATTCATACTGTTTGCAACTGTGTAACAAAAACATGGGGACAGAGATAGAAATGTTCTCGATCTGGGAACAGAATCTGCCAACCTGCCATATTTAATCCTGTTCTAATATTGAAAATAGAAATCCAAATGTCCCTCACACCTGCTTTGCCTTTTCCAAGATACCAAGAAATCTACATTTTCACACAAGCTGTGTGTTGTGGAGCTTCTGGGATCTGGAACCCACATCTAGAGCCTGTCATAAATCTCTACTGGTAGGATTACCTTCTCTCTGTGATCCTTTCAATGCTTGGTCTGTTAATGTAAATGTTCATCAGTGATGGACCCATAGGGAAAGCATACTTACTGCATGGGTGTCCCAACACTTTAACTTCATCAATAGCAAGGTAGCCTTGATGTCCAGAAGTTACCACTTCAAAAATCACCTGAAAAATTAAGAGAAATTAATGTCATTCAATCATTTTTTGTCAGAATTTTATCAAGTATCTCTTATAAGGAATAAAGTTTCACTGGTCCATCCATTTATTTTGTGGGTGGACTATAACCTGCCTACCAGCGTTTCAAGCTCTGGACCCCAAATATAAGTAAGACTGAACCTGCTTTAGTCTGAGGAGATCAAAGGGCTGAGGCAGGTCCAGTCACCTATGTAGTGATCGGAAACCATGACTGAGAACGAATATGGGAAAGACATAGTCTTGGAGCCATTTTTAAGGGTGGAATAATGTACCAAGGTCTTCAAAAATTCAGAAAACTTAGGTGATGTTAAGTAAATCATTATAAAGAATAAAGATGTTTTCCTATATATAAAACCCATTCTCCCACACACTGTGATATCTTCACTGAAGGGCAAAGGTTACAATTTAAGCTTCCTTAGATGATGTTTTGAAGGTGTTTGACTAGAAAGAGACATTTGAGGTCCTATAGGCTTTTTTGTTTTGTTTTGTTTTGTTGGGTTTTTTTTTGTTTTGTTTTTACATTTAGGAGAAAGAGAGATAAGGGGAGGAATGAGGAGGAGGAGGAAGAGGAGAAAGGGGGGATGAGGGGAGAAGGGGAGGGCAAAAGCAACAAGAGGAAGTTAGTTACACTTAAGAAATTACAGGGTGTTATGATGGCTGATTTTGAGGCCAATTTGACTGAATTGATAACTAAAAGCTTACTAGGACAGATTACTGCTTCTGAGGGTGCTTACTCAGAGAGATGTGCAACAGAGACATTGTTTGGAATGCAGTGGCACCTTCTTACATGCTGGGGGTCCAGATGGAGAAAAGGGAGAGCAGGAAGCCTAGAGGGCAGGCACCCCCTTCTCAGCTTCTCAGTCACTACAATGGCACTATGTTGTTCTAGCAATCTCCACCGCAGTGGGCTGACACCTGAAGCCAGGAGCCATGGCAACCTTTCCTCTACGTCTGTGCTGCCTATTTCAAGTGTTTTGTTTGTTTATTCATTTGTCACTATTTTATTTTTCATTTGTTTTCTGTGTAGACAACAGTACCCGACATCATGGGACAGGCATATACCAGGGTGGCAGACCATGAGGAGTTAGTGTTAGCATCTGAAGGGGAGGGAGGTGGCATAATATATATGCAGTGGTAGGCATTGTCATGACTGGGTTCTTCAGGCGCAAAGCTCAGTCATGCCCAGTTACAGGAGACTGCTTGGAAGACAGAAGAATTACTTCTCATTCACATGGAGACAGGACCAACTGAAATCCAGGTGGAAGATATGTGAATTCAAAGGAGAATGATAAAACCAGCTTGCTCAGTAGTAAGAGACGTTTATACGATGTGATAGGATATGGGAATGAATGGCTCATTTGAGAGAGATTCATCCCTAGGGAAGAGAAGACGGAAGGCATAGACGAGGAAAAGACTGTCAGTTTGCTCATCCCAAGGAATTACCTGAGGTATCAACATAACCCTGTAATTGTTCTCCTTTTTATCCTAGAGAAATAGAAACTTCTACTCACATAAAAAGCCTGCGCAAACTTACTGAAGCCCTATTCATAACAACCCAGGACAGCGGAGAAGACTTTTAATTAAAGAATGATAACAGACTGTCCCAGCTTACCACAGCAATGAGTAAAACTAACTGCTGTCGTTATCAAACGGCATGGATGAATCTGCAAGAGAAGTGCTGGATTTAAAAAAAAAAAAAAAGTCAGGCCTGAAAGATTTCACCTCATCTGATTCTATAAACGCAATACCCTGCATGGTCAAACTTTAGTAAAGTAGAAGCCAGACTACTGGTTGACAGGAGTGAGGGACAGTGGTAGAAATGTCAGGAGGGAGGTGAGTGGTCTTTGAAAGGGGCAGCCTAGGCCATCTCTGTCATGTTCTACCGTAAGCATCTTCTCAGGTAACCGAGTTGTGTAGAATTAAGTGTGCATGAGCATGGGTGTGCACACATGCAGAGGCGTGCAAGCATTAGAAAGCCCGTGGAAGTCATAATAAGTATTGAATATCCCAACACTGCCAATACCCAGCTGTGATACCACAACTGGCAAATTATTTTCGCCTGAGGCAACAGAACGCCATGCCCATGGGAGAAGTCTCTCTTATTGTTAACGGTTGTGTGCTACTC